CCGCAAGGATCCGGCTTCTTGGATCGTCCGCATGGACTTTCCTTCCGTTTCGTGGGCTGGCAACCACCACAAGTGCTCGACTTCTTCTTTTCGCACTTCGGCGGCTCTGGCTTGTCCGTTTGTTTGTCGTTGCCGCATTTCGGATTGCCACACACGTTGCTCTTCTTCTGCTTGCACCGTTTCCCGTAGACGTTGTCTTGCCAGTACTTGTCCAAAGGATCGTCGTTTCCGAAGGGGTCCGTGTATTCCTTGCACGGTTTACCATAGAGTTCTTCCTTCTTAAAATCCTTGCAAGGATCCTCTTGACCGGCCTTGCAACTCTTCCCATGTACTGCTTCCTTTCGATACTTATCGCACGGATCCCCTTTCTTACCGCAATCTTTGCTCGGTTTCTCCTTTTTGCAAGACGATCCGTGCTCCTTTCCCGACGTCAACTTCGGACAAGTATTATCACCTTTATCATCGGCGCAGTTCGTGATCTTCTTCTGTTCCGACTCCTTGCACGAGCTGTTTGATTTCTTCAACCGTTGCATCAGTCGATCCTTCAGACTCGTCTTGGACGTATCGATGTTCGACGAAAATCGTACCACGCCGACGTGGTTGTAGGCTGGCATCGATTCCTGGGAACCGAACAGAGTGTCCAGATTGTAGGAACTCGAGCCGGTCAGCGAGCTCGATTTCCGTCTGTTGATTCTCAGATTCTCGAGAAAGAGCGCGAGCCTCGACGACACGTTTCTCAATGTACTCGGAGGCTCGCTGATCTCGCTGATCGTCTCGTACTCGGTATCGTCGTAGCTGGACACCGATATGTTTCGATCGACGATCGCGTTATCCGTCTCGTTCGGATATTCGACGATTCCATTCGCGATTGAAACTACCGATTTTCCAAAAGATCCTACCGATAAATCGGTCATCGAAGTGGAAGCCTCTAGTCTATGTTTACCACGAGCAACCACGTACGATTGATCGTCGCTCGACGATTCGATCGCCTTACGATCGCCGGTTGAATCGAGTCTCTCGACTTTACAGACTCTCTGCTTGGAACTCGAATAATCGTCGTCGGTTCTCTGGACATCGAAGAGGTTCGTAAAGAACCATGTAATGGGCGTGCGTCTCTGTTGAACCAGACCGTAGAGCAGCTTCGGTTTCTTGTCCGACAGAACCGCCGGTATCGTCCAGTTTCTCGATTTCCCCGTACTATTCACACGTCTCTCAGCTTTGACGATCGTTTCCTCGACTCCTTTCTGCCTCCTCGGACGGATCTTCTTGTCGATCGACGATCGATCGTCGACTCCCTTTAGAACACACTTTTCCAGCCCAGACTCGGACACGTTCAACCTCCTCGCGTCTTTTCTCTTCTTTCTGTCCGGTTTCTCGGTGATCGTGCTCGTCAACAGGGTCGTGTCGTCGGTCCTCCTCGAAGTATCGATACACCGCGACTCGTTGCCGTGACACGAGCAACGTTTTCTCACGATCGGATCTCGCGAGGCCACCGTGAACGTCGACAACTGACGCAGAGCGGGACGGCTCGCGACGCGTTTCGTGCGATCTCGGCCGAGACAATCCGCGAGATCGGGGAACTGCTTATAGATCGCGGCGACGATCCGACCGGCTGGACGGAACGTGTCCGGCCCCATTTCACCGAGTACTCGAGGACCTCGTGGCTCGCTGGCGTACGCTGTGTCCCCCTGAGGACAGACGGAGAGACGATTTCACAGGTGAGTGGATTGACGTCCGTGATATTTCTTTCTTTCGATCCCTCGGAGGAGGGGATAGAAGACAAGATGGAATTCACGAAATGATAGCTCGTAGAATAAAGTGTGCTCTTTTGGCGAACTGTTCGACGACACATTGACCACGACCAAGGGGACAGAGATTCTGTCCAGGGACATGGTTCGTGTAAAATTATTCTTTATACAGGGTGGGACAATAACTATGTCCACTTTGAAAATGTTAATAATGAAAAATGTTATATACAAAACTTATACGGATGTTAATCTAGAATTGTGGGCGAGTCAATGTGTCGATCGACTATCAACGTTTATTCCCACCCCCGTCCATCGTCTCTCGTCTTGCGTTCTCTGCGGGGGAGAAAGATATTCCGAAAAGAAGCGCGCTAGACCCTCGAAATCGAGACTCGTTCAAGGGCCATCACGATTACGTTTTTCGGTCCTGCTAGGAAATTATTTGCGTTTTCGCTCCTCTTCGCGTGTCCCTTCCGAGAGTTTCGATCGTTTTACAAAGGGACACGATCGCGGCGAGGTCGTCGACGAGCGTTTCCGGGACGAGGAAATCCTTTCTCGCGAACGAAGTGACCCGAAGATCGAAAATCGGAATTCCGTGGGTGGAAACGTGAATTCCGAAGAGATCGTGACCGTCTTTTTTGTTTAGACAGCTGACGTTCACTGTGATCGATGGGACATCGGTGATATTCTGAATTTGAACTCGAGAATCAGACAAAAATTACCCTAATTCGGAAGAATTCTTTCTTAGCGTCGTCCCATCGGCCACTTTCTCGTCCCTATCCTCCTCCTCCTCATCCTATAATGACCACCGACGCGTTACGAGTACGACGAAATAAAATACTAGGATCGTGTCGATTCACGGAATTTCTGTCGAACCGAATCTACAGATTCGAATTTTCTTAACAATACACGAGACTGCTTTGAAACTGACAGATCGTGTGTTCAGTTCAACAGCATCTCGAACTGTTGCTTTAACGATCAACAAATGATAGATTCTCCTACCTGTGACGCAATCACCTTCGATTTCCTCGAATGATTCATGGTTCCTTCTTCGGCGACTGGCAATTGACGGAGAATGTTTACGAGTTCCTCTGTTTCATTCTGTCGAACGAAAAATTATTTTGTAACGATTTTCTGAACGCAAAACAAATCTTAAAATCATTAACGTGTAATATACCTTAGCTATTTTCGATGGACCGTTGGGCAAGTAATTAGTAGATTCCCGAACAGTCTCCTGTCGTGCGGCGTCTTCAGCTGTTCGTGGTTTCTCCAACATCGTTAACATCCGTGAGTTCTGGAAGAGTAGCACAATTTGTTAATGTATATATTCGGATCTAATAGCGATTATGAGACGAATATGATTTTCTCACGAGAATATTCTGTGGTTCGCCGTCAGAGAAGGTGTGCAACCTGAACGGGATCGTGAATTGTTTATTTAAGGAAGCCACGTCGTACAAAGCGAGCACGTTGAGTTTCGAGGTTTGTTTCAACATCTGCGACAGGGATCGGCGGATTTCTCCTGTGCCGCCTACCAACGCCACCTGCGCCACCCGGACAGGTGTACCGTTTAATTTGCGAAATGATTACGATCAGTTATTATTCGACGGGAATTAAGGCTATGAGTCGGGAACGGGTCCGTATCGTGGATCGCTCTATCGGTCGTCGATTTTTATCATAATATACCCACGCACCTTTATGTTCTCGTCGCCGGCGTGATATTTTCGCTGGCTAATGGTTTTCACGATAGATTTTGCGGCCCGGGAAAACATTGTCAATCTTTTTGGTGAATTACAGAGAATTTTTGAACGCCTTCATGGGGTCCCCGACATGTCCAAACTGCTACGTCAATCGGGCATCGTTACCAGGCGAAGCTTCGTGCAATTGTTTCGTCGAGCCAGTTCACAGAGCTCTGTGCGATAGAAAAAAAAAAGAAAAACAGAAAAACGTCGAATATTTTACGCGAAGGAAGACAAAGGTAAAAAATAAAAGTTTATATTGTACGCGGGTTTCTAGATTATTACAGGTGCAGCCATCCTACAAAAAGTGCCTCAAGTACGTACAGAGTTGCACCAGTCAATAAAAAAGCGTTCGGTACAGGAGCTCGGTTGTCATGTTAATCGGGCATTAACAGAAATGGAAAAGGTATTTTGTTTCCCTTTTTTTATTATGTATATGTGTTAAAGCTTTATATCTTCAACGATTTATATCTCAAAAAATTGCTTCCAATCTGCTCCTCCCGAATCTGAAATTACTCTCCCAGCACCGTTAATAGTTAATCAGATATTCGCAAAAGAAAAAGTAACTATTTGTTGTTAACAAAATAGGTAGTAAATGACCTTTTTACAAAAATATTATGGTACCAAAAAATTGCTCCTGTTCTGTTTTATAATAATCAATAGTCAGATATCTCAATAATTTTGCTCGCGAGGGTATATCTCACACACGGGGTCTCTGGCGCCTCCACCGGGGGTTCTATGACCCCACGCTCTCACCATACGAGGTCTCTGCCGCCTCCACCGGGGGCTCCATGACCCCACGCCCTCACCACACAGGGTCTCTTGCGCCACCGCCGGGGGTTCTGTGACCCCACGCTCTCACCCACGGGGTCTCTGGCGCCACCTGCCGGGGTTCTCTAACCCCACGATCTCACCACAGAGGGTCGCTGGCGCCTCCACCGGGGGTTCTGTGACCCCACGCTCTCACCACACGGGGTCTCTGGCGCCTCCACCGGGGGTTCTGTGACCCCACGCTCTCACTACACGTAGTCTCAGGCGCCACCGGAAAATAGTTGGCGCCGAATGTTAACGTATCTTAACGATTTATATCTCAAAAAATTGCTCCCGTTTTGCCCTTTTCGAATCGGAAATTGCTCCCATCGCACCGTTTATATTTAATGAGATATTCGCAAACGAAGCAAAAATTTGTTATCTGCAAAATAGATTTAGGAAATGGTCTTTTTACAACCGAATCATGTGTACCAAAAAATTGCTCCTGATCTGTTTTATAATATTCAATGGTCAGGTATCTTAATAACAATGAAATAATTTTGCATACATGTTACGTAGGCTATGACGTCATACTGAGTTTTCCATCGTAGTAGGCTATGACGTCACGCTGAGTTTTCAATCAATAATTGAATTATGTTGCAAATGATCGAGTACAGCGTCAAACGTTTGCATCGCATTACACTATATTTATACGAGTTCTAATATTCGTAACACAATTATCGAGATGATAAGAAATAAAATAATGATTTCATAATTATTACAAATGTTTTATTTCAGTCATTCAATACAATTAAAAATATTTTTGTTGCCTGTACACCAGAAAACGTATAGGCAGCGAATAGAAACGTTTTCTTCTCCTTCCTTCTTTTAATACCCCTCGTCCGAGCAAGTGATTTTGTAATCTGAGTATTTCTTCTTCAACAGGTTCACTGATACCTCGTGGTCCGCTTTACCGAAACCCTGGAAACGAACGAACCACATAAATTGAAACGCTTAATTCTGTACAAAATTAACGACCATTTTAATTAAAAAAATTTTTAATTGCACTGATTCAGCGCTACATTGTCTGTAAAAAAAAAGACTCTGACAATAGACTGGCATATTCATCTCGGTCCTCGAAAAAAGCGGTACCCGAGGTGGCGTAAAAAATTGCTTTCCCCTCGGGGCGCGTCCCAATCCGATAGGAAGTATTTTTTTTAAATTTCACAACCACTCTTAGAAACCTTTATCTCGCAAGATTTAACCCCTTTTCTGAACACTTTTCCCAAATCGCCAAAACGGCACGGCTTACTGAATCTCAAATACTTTCAGGTTCGAGATATGAAACGATGATCACTGGTAGCCCCCGAGAAGAAAGGATCGATTAAATTAATTTACAATGCTAATTATTTAAAGTTGCCAACTTCCCATCGGACGGACGATTATCCCTGGGCCAAGTTTGCCTTACAGACACAATTTCACGGGAAATCAGATTTTATCCACCGCTCGTAGCCCCTTTAAATTTCATCTAATTTCGATCCCCTCTTCTCGACTTTTACACTCGACTTACCGGCAGATCGATATTTTATCAACGTTTTTTTTTTTTTTTGAAACTTCGGTGTTTGGTTTCTAATCCTTAGAATCCCATGGCAATATCATTACAACTGTTCTGTACATTGTACTTCGACGAAGTAAGTCTTCTTTTAATTAACGGTACCTCGATCAATAGTAAAGGTTTTTTACGGATGCAATTAAGAGAAGTTAGATAGGCTTAAAGAAAAATTTAAACGACCCAACGATACTGACTGGTTTTCTTCGTTGTTTTAAATTTCAGTTCGATCCACCTCGACTAACTTCCTTCGTTTAAATTCGCAAAGTTCCACAAAATATCTAACAAAGCCAGTGGAAATAGTTTCTCGTTGTTCTTTCGTGTTTCACCGTCAGGTCAACAGAATGCTTCACTCGTTCCACTTGCTCGGCGCAGAAACGGCCCGTCGACCCGGAGAACAGTTTTTTCTCCGCGTAACTATTATAACATCAAACGTTGACTTTAAGAAATCTCAAGTTGTAAAGCCATGGATCATAAGGATTCAAAGTTGATCGTGTTTGCTCGGTTGTCTGGAAGCTCGGAAAACCTGGACGAGGCGTCCCGTCGAGGATCCGACGACGACGTCGTACCTCCACGCGCCCACGGTGCAAATGAACCCCGAGATGGGATCGATAATCGATTAGATCGACGGGGTTCATTAGCAGGTATTAATTCGGTAACTCGCCTGAGAGTATCCGTAGACTTTGATGGTCTTCTCGTCGGGGTCGTGCTCGATTCTTCCGCCACCCAGACACTTGGCCCTCAACGAAGGATACGGTTGAAGCTGTTCAGTGGTCCGGTCGAATATATCCGCTGAAGCAAACAGGGAAAATTGCTATACCTTTTTAGTGCATACATCAAAGTGTGCCTTTATAATTGAAAACATCAGACGGCATACAGAAAAATTTCAGAGTGCCTATCGACGCACTATCCGTATTCTAAATAAATGTACACAATAAAATTCTAACATACAAACAACGATCGAAAATTCTACTCGGACATTCGTCAAGTAAAATACCAGTGGTTAAAACTCTACAAATAAATATCGTCCTTGGAATTCCCAAAAGACATGGAATACTATTTCGAAAGTCCTGTTTGACCCAAAAGCTCGTGTGGGTTCGACGAAAAGTTGTGTGTCGAAGCTTCGTTGGCCACGAAAAGGTCGGGAACTCATCGTATTCAGGTGTATACGCGTCCCCGGATAATCAACGATCGGCCGTGACATCCTTTTGAGGTGGTCCCGCGTAACGGGCGTTAACGTCGCGAACGTGTCCCGAAGTTCCAGCGATCGATCGGACAGGTTCACCTCCCCACGAGGGTCGTGACGTGAACGTGAAATGTCTCCCTCAAGTTTCGACAAATTAGATCGATCGACGAACGTGTTCCGAAAGGGATCTCGCGTTTCGGTTGTGTACCTACGCACCGAGAATTCGGGGGAAAAAGCTTTCCCTCGACGAATTATCGTCTCCCTGGGTAACATCTCTCAGGACGACTCGAGGCAATATCTCGTAGGATTTTTTTATTTGTTTGGTCATACCGGGGTGTGGGACTCGTGAATAACCCAGCTTTGATTTCTATCTGCAGGATCCTTTCCAGAGAAGGGGAACGGATCAGGACGAAGTGTCCAAAGGAATCGAGATAAGTTGAAATTTTCTGTTTTTTCTTCCATCGTTCCTTGTAAATCGGATGTCCTTCGGAGATCCACAAAGGCGACCTTTGCTTCGCTCACACTCATTAATCGCTCGATCTTCTTCCTCGGGCAGATTTTCCGTCCCTAAGCCGAAATACACATTACAGAATGGAATTCTGCAAGCTTTCTGATCCACACACAGACTTTATCGAGCAATTCTACGCAAAAGGCGCTGGATCGTTCCCCAATCCCTTTGCCGTGGACAGCATCGTCCTGGTCGATAAAAGAACTCATGAATAAACTCAAAAATCGGAATAAAATTCCCAGATGAAAAAGATCGCTGGACGACGAAACTAAACAGAGTAGGATCGATCGAGGGAGGAATTTTGTTCTCCTTACACCGTCTACCATCGGGGAGGAAAGTAACAGAGAAGAACACAACGTAAACGCAGAAATAATGTTCGAAGTAAGGAATATCGGACAAGTGACAAACGAGTCGTTCAGGTTTGGCCCCAGGTTTCGTTCGTGGCGCCCAGTAAAAGTTTGACGGTGAGACGTTTATCTTGGTCCATCTCGGCGTCGCGTGTCCCATTAATTCTGGCCCACCCCCTCCCGCCGAAGGAACTTCGACCTAGGTGGTGGAGGCCAGAGAAACGAGAACCGTGCGAATCGACTGTGACAGTCCGCCGCAAGAAATAAAAATGAAAAATACGGATATACGCGGCTCGGGTGAGCATTAGACGCGATCCTTCCGGAGGAGGGTGTGGGATGGAAGAAAAGGTTTACCTTTCCAGATGGCCAAGCCATCCCTGGATTACGCTGTCCTTCTTATCAGAACGAATGTAGCTGTACGACCGATCTCGTAATTGAAATCAATCGACGGGAGATATTAAGGGGAAAGTTAGTAGTGTACTGTTCCTCGGGACTCTACTTCCCTCGTTATCCTTTTCAAAAGTTCGAAAATTGTCCGTAAGTTTTCGTCGCAGATGTTCCTCTGACCGTTAAACGACGGATGACTGTGGGGTCGATCTGACCCGAGTTCTCAAGAATTTCATACGATTCGGGTGGGTTCCGATAAACGATTTAAATCAGTGATTGTTTATATTAACCCGTTTCTTCCCGAGGTAAATTCGCCGGACGAAAAATGACAGATTTGAATAATGTTTAAAAAATGATACAATAAACCGCAATAATAACGAAAAAAGTATTCATGTATACGGTAAATCATCGATGAGTGTTTGAAGGCTAACTGAGAATAATTTCTATTAGTGCAGAAACTTAGTGGGAAATAGATATTCTTTGAATAAATAACACTGGGAAGAAATGGGTCAATTCAATTGGAAAGAAGTCGAATTCGCTAAGAAATTTCGTTTCAAACTGCATTTAGAAGGAACGATGCCTTTTTGAAGGAAAAAACCTTCCGAAGCCTAATCGTCGCATACGTAATCGGTAACAGAAAGTTCGACCTGGGCTATCGAAAAATAAAACCAATAGCTCCAAGGCCAGATGATTCGATAAAGACTCGCCTTCCACGCTGGTACAAGCCACCAGGAAACCGACAGAGCAACGGTGTCGTGTTGTATACCAGGAATAACGTCGCGGTCGACAGTTTCGCGAGCTGGAAATTACCAGAAATCGATGGTGGAATGAGGCATCTGTAGGCTCTCAGTGGGTACTAAAAGCACGGCCGGGTAAATCGCTAAGTGCAAAACACGGTAAAGGTACAAGGCCGTGTGTGGTTTAACTTCCGTTGGCTGAGGCAAAACAGAAACAGCCATCGCCCAGCTAGAATCAGCTTCTGGTACGGGATGAATTACGTGCCGATTCGTCTTCGAGGAAAAATATTCCTCGGTAAATTGACAACAGGCTCTGTTGTTCCCCGTGGATCTGATTTATGCGAACCATATACGCAAAGGGGCCTCGATTTTAGTGCGACAATTCTTCCGAGACCAGCCACGGGGAGATTTACGACGTCGGTTTACGCTCGTGACCGCAACTGGGATTGTACATTGTTCCGTCGCTGGTTACGAGATCGTTCACGAGCGAACGTAAATAAGCAATTTCTGTATCGAACAACCGTGCGGATCGTATCGGTGAACACGAACGGTGAGTACAAACCAGTCGCCCGGTGTTCCGAGGATCCCAGCATTTCGTTAAATAAACCACGAAAATCGAACGGAGTACAACTTTATTTCCTCGATTCCCGAGGAAGTAGTTGGCCTGCTAGTGAAGTTCATTGGGTGGCGTGTGGGTGTGCTCTGACCTAGAACTTGCTAAGAGATATTTCTCGGGGAAAAACAAGCAAAAGGTTATCGGTGCACCCTGCGACTAAAAATTAAAACAGGACAGAATTTTGAGGATTTATTAGTTTGATAATAACATGTGAATGGTATTTTCTAAATACCTTTATTATATTTCAAGTTACGGAACGTTATAAATGCTTAAACATCCGCAGAATGTAATCTTATAATGGATACAGTGAAATGAGTAAAATATACGAAATGTGCGTATGTAAATGAAGGAATCTGCACAATTGTTCCAGAAAACAATACTCCGTATTAAGCATTTGTCACACCTGCCGTCTGTCGGGTTGACCAAATATTACAATTAAAAAAAATAAATTCACGTAAACCTTGGCGCCACGTTTTATCGTTTATCTTGTTTGCATTCGGTAATAACGCGCGTGGTTCCAATCGCGAAACAGCCCCGTATCGATCCATCGTGTCACATTTGAATTCAATTTAACTTTCTTTCGTAGTTTGGTGGATATGCAAACGGTTAACCGCGAGAGGAACAAATGATTAATTGATCTTCGTGAATCAACGTGTTCAACAGAGAACGATCTGTCGCCGGAGATCTCACGGATAACCGTCTGCCATCGAGACCTTTGATTCCGCCGGAAGCAATTAACGAGGGAATCCAATGGTACACGTAGTAACGTCACAGACGTCTGTATTCTATACTAGACTGATAACTTTGATAAAATGTCCCCAAAAAGGACATACTAAAGTGTCCATCAAAAATATATACAGAAATCTATAATTTAATTTAATTTAATTTAATTCGTACGGGTGAAAACTCTGTTTCACTTTTCTGCTACCCTGTCATAGAAAACACTGTGTAATTCAGATGTAAATTTATTTATGTTAGCTGCGAAAATGTCAATCTTGTCGTTCCAATTATTTGTCAAAGCACAAATTCTGACGAGTGGGTGCGTTAATAATAATTATTAATTATTGCTTCTGCGGATGAGCAGAATGAGATACGGTAGTAGATGCGTTTTGAGGACATTTTATACAAGCAAAATTTAGGAAGTTGAGAGTTTAGTAAATAATATAAAAGTCTGGGGTCAGTACCTGCTGTTTGAATTCATCGATCGCGACGCACGATGTTCGATCGTTTCAGCGTGCACGCTATCGTTACCACGCGTCGACGACTACGTGCTTAATGTCGTCGATAACGAAATCGACTGACGGAATGGCGACAACTCACCTTGGCAGATAATACGAATCAGGAGTGAAAAACAAAAACGGGAACGCTATTATTCCCGTGTCGTCGTGAAACGACCGATCCATAAACCACTCAGGAACTTCCTCTTATCTTGATCGCTAGTTATATTAGAAGCTCCGTTTACGTTACCTTCCGGCTGCTTTGTCCGGAAAGTTTAAATCCAATCGAAGTCGAGCTTCAAATAAAGATCACCGGAGAAGTGAACGAATCGAAGTCAACGGCCGAACTTCCGTTTTGTCGGAATGTCCTTCGAATGTAAACCGCCAAATGGATCCACTGAACCCGATTGCGTCTCGTCTCTCCGCGATTTCTTTCACGAACCAGAATACGTCCTTCGACTTCGAGATACCTCACAGATATCCTCGCGATTTGGACCAATTTCGCCGGGAATTACCCAAACACAATTTAGACACTGAACCAATTCCATTTGCCGATAGCAACGAAGAGCGTAGCAGCGGTCGACCGATAAAACCCGTATAAAATCCATCGGAAAAGGTCTGACCGTCACGGGAATCAATCCGCTCCTTTTTCATGCAGCCCGACGAACGATAAAAATTCATCGGATGATCTCTTTTAAAAGAATCGAATCGATCAACCCATCCACGGTTCCTGGAACCATCGCAAAAAATTGACCCGTAATTCCGGCGAGCCAACGAGCAACGTTTTACCCCCT